GGGGAGAGGGGGGTAGCGGGTGGGGAGGCACAAAACGAGATAGATTAGTCAGAAAAAATCACACCAAATAAAGCAATTAACGAACATGCATACATACATCATCAACATGCGTCTATAATGATGAGCCATATCTTGGCCAACAGTAATTTTGCCCTAGAAAAAGCTTACATAATGTCTAGGGGGACGTATAATTCAACGAAGGTCAGTTTACAGATCCTTTAACAGTCATCACTTTTAAAAGGCTTTCATTTTTTTGCTACGTCTCCTCTGCAAATCCGAGACCAGATATTGGCCTCCTAAGCCAATCATAGATTTCCAGCCCATCTGTTAGGTTGTAAGATTCATTTACATAGAACACCCCCCCCCCCCACCCCCACGCACACACACACAAGAGAGAAAATTGAAAACACAACCAACTTACTGGCTCTGTAGTCTGAACACATAAAACTCCATCGGGCATGTCCCATGTAGGAGATGCAAGGCCAGCCTTGAGGGCACAACGGAAAGTCATATTTGGATAGAGAGGTATGAAGTCTGGATCACATGAGTATGTAGCCTCTGTTACATAGACATCTTTTCCTCTTCTAAGGGGCAAAAGTGATCCGTTTGTTATTAGTTGCTGTGGATCGCATGACTCACAGGTTACATTGACCGCTGTCCAGTTTCCGGATGAAGAGCAGGTTGAAGAGTTTAGGAATCCGATGGCAAACAGAGGGGACTCACAGGAGTAAGAAGTTGTAGACTCGAACGTTGTACCTGTTATCTGCACGTTACAAATTTGGAAATGCGCCAGCAAGAAAAATAATGATTTGAAAACAGAAATATAAAACGTCTGATTGATATTAAGCAATTTAAAAACGCTCGTAGCCACAGCTTCTACATATGCCAACTGCTGGGATGTGGTTATGGGATGAAAATAGCTAGGTGAAGTGTGTGTTTTGATCTAGGAAAAGTCTGATATTACTAGTAGATGATTGTACTTGTCCATGTTTTTCTTCCTTATCGACGTGATTAAAATCCTATAGGAGATAAGGTTCTTCGACCTTGTCTGAGAAGGATAACTGGGGCTGTGTGGGGTATTACATCTCAGTAGATAGACGGAGATATCGGTACAAAATCGTCTGTCCACGGGAATAGGCTTTTTAATTGCGTCATGGCGAAAAGGTAAACCATTCTACCATAAAGACCTGTGGTATTTCTAACAATAGCAGGAATGTAAAGGATTAACTACGAGACACTATCGATAATGATCATTCCAGATTAGGAAAAAGCGACGAGTTAGACCAAGGTAAAACACAAAACTATATTAGGAAAGAAATCTTTTATCTGACAGTGAAGTTCACCAACCATCTGTGAGAATCTTTGCAATCTTTCTATAACTTAAGTCAATAATATTTTCTTCTTCAGTTCAGCAAGCAGAAGAAGAAGAGAAAAAAATAAGTTTGGGGGGTTGCCACCCAACATCGAGATTATGGGAACTCTCCATGTACAATTTATGACGTTTTTCATCAATGGGAGAGGGACGTTCAATCGGAATTGTCGCCGTTTTACACATTGTATAATTTAAGAAGGTGTAGAACCAAAGCTGCACCTTGCAGCGTCAGGCAATAGCATACTAAAAGGTCATTCTAGTGATATTTTGCGAACTTTACAGGCTCAGTCTCACCTTGAAACCTCACTAAGTTTTTAAAAATAAAAATCTGTTTATTACTAAGACCATCAAAGATATCACACTACAGAGCTCGATCTTTGGTCACATTAATCGTGATAAATTATTTATTGACTCTAAGCGTAATCTTACACTTACATTCACCGAAGCATGCTCCACAAGTGGAGGCTCTCCGCAGTCTATGGGTAGACAACCAGTGATTTTTGTAAACCAGCCTCCTTCGTAAACTGAGCAGGTGGAAGTGTGGAAAACGTTTGTGGTTCCTGGTACGACGTGACCTTCAAAACACGTATACTCAGCAACTACACGCATTTTACGGTTGGCCTTGTCACTGTTTTCAGCGACAGAATGATTAACAAGCTGTGCGTTTTCAAGCGTTGGAACATCAGCACATTTAGTCCACCGACAGTAAATACTTTCCTTTGACCACTTTTTGCTTGGTTGGCAAGTTCGAGTCTGCGATATTCTCAGCGAGAAGAAGCCTGGGTTACATTCATAGGTCGCTGTGGACCCTACTGTAACAGACGTCCATCTTATTGTTGTGTTGGCCACTGGCGGAGGGTTTTCACAGACATCGTCGTCGCAAACTTTATCAACAGGTGACCATGTCCCGTTGTCGGAACATGTCAGGAATACTACACTCCCAACCTTTCCATTTTCACAGGCGTATTCTGCAAAATACCCACCTGAGTTGTAACCAGTAGTGATTAAATCGCCTTTAGGCACTCGGGGAGGAAGGAGACACTCAGGTGCCAAGCATCTTATCGTGTCGACACCTTGCCAGTTTCTGGTTTCGTTACACTTTGCTGATCCGTTGCCGTACATAACGTAAGGTTGCTCACATGTATACGTCACAGTACTAGAAAAAGAAGTGTCTATGAAGCTGCTAGTGCTCCTCAGAATGTGCGGTGGGTGGCCACAATCAACGACCGTGCAGTTAAGTACGCCGTCATCCTGGGTCTTCCATTCTCCGTCCTGGCTGCAAGTTCTAGATATGTACGTCAAGTTTGACAAAGACATGAAACCTGTTTGGCAAGTGTAGTAAGCTTTAGAGCCAAGAGTTGTATTTGTGTAGACACAATCTCCGTTTTCTTCTTCAGGGGGTGCGTTGCAGTCGATGATAAGCCCACATATAATGTTGTCATCAGACCACGTTCCATTATCTAAACAAAGTCTGGAACAGAGAAATTATAGAAAAAAGAGACTCTGTTTAATATTATCATTTGTCATTCAGTTTTATTCTTTTGTTTGGAGCAGTGAAAATCGTAATCTTTTAAAAATAACCATCGTATCCGACAAATCGCCATTCGAGGATAATACGAAAAAGGTGTCAATGCGGATGTATGGTACACAATCAATTCATGGATATCTTAAAGCAAGCCCTAAATAAATTCGGCGTGTTTTCAGATAGATCAGTAGGCTTACCTCACTCAAATTAACAATACCTCAAAGGAGAAGTCGTCGAATCCTTTGCCAACTATGCAAAAAATGCTCCGAAAATGATCAAATAATATGTCCTGTGTAGAAAGCACTGGCATGTTTTGGGTTACCTTTATCTCTGGAAACCGACTCTTTGGGGTTGACAAGTTTGTTCCCTAAGTTTCTCTTTTCTGCACTTGCATGATAATTACTGTATTTACAGCGGTGCAAAATATTTACCATAGTACATGTATATCATACAATTCCGCTTTTCCCTGACGTGATGTTCTATCTATTTATCCGTTCTCGCCCCCCAAAAAAAGGATATGGGTGCACACATGAGTTAACTAAGTTACATTCTATCTACCTATCAATCTATGTATGTATGTATGCATGTATGTATGTATGTATGTATGTATGTATGTATGTATGTATGTATGTATGTATG